TTTTATGCTGAAAACTTTGAACCCACTTAGTATCGTTATGATATATAAAAAAATATTAAATCGTTGTTTTTTAATAAATTAATTGTGTAACTACTACTACACTAAGCATTTACTATTTATTTATTTATTTTTGAATATTTTAAAATTAATTTATTTTAAACTAAATAATTAAAATTATGTTTTCGCTTAACCACTCAATGATTCAAATTAATATAGTCTTTTATTTTAATATTATTCTTTTTTTTTTTTGCATGAATATATAAAATTAAATTCATATTCTTTTAAAAATCGATATTCTCATCAACATTAAATAAAAATAAAAAAAAACAATTTTTTTATTTGTTCAATTCTATATAAGTTTTTATTAATTGTTATTTTAGTTTTTTGACACAATCTTATTAAATACTAAAGCTTTTTTTAAAATTTTTATTTAATTTTTTTAGTTAATAATCCATATATTAACAAGAATAAATCCTTTTTTCTAACAGAAAAAAATCATGAAAACACAAATAAGAAATAGTTAAATACAAAATTTTGATTAAAAAATTATAAAAATAAATTTTTTATACCTTTGATTTCATATATTTTTGTAGATTGACACTATATCAAAAACTATCAAGTTGAAATGATTTTTTAAAAAAATAATTATATATATATTATCCAACCCTCGGCGTAGCCTAGGTTAAAAAAAACTAGTTAGTGTCTAATTTTTATATTTATTTAGCAACTTGAGCCATCTAATTTAGAGACTAGATGATAGACTATCCTATAGATTGTCTTCCAACCATCTTATAAAATCTCTTATTTTAAAAATCTCTTATTTTAAAGTTCTCTTAATTGAGGACGGTACAAAAGAATCGACAACATGCATCTTCTATGTTCTATAGCTATAATGATGTGAAATTTGCATATATTTTTCTAAAGGTTAATCTTCCAACGAGTGGAATTTAACCTCAATTAGCACGTTTTTACTTTTTTATCTCCAGTCTTTTCTCAAGTCACAAAATAAACATTATTAAGCACATATAATCTAAAAGTACTTCCAAAATACTAGATACATAAGAATAGATATAATCAATAATGCTGACTGTCAATCGCAAACACTACTTTTGGAAAAAGAGAAAACAGCTACTCCTAGTTCTAAATTGACATTGGGTCAAACTGGTTGTGCTAGATGAGGATTCCTACTCAACTTTTCTAGAAGACTTGAATGATGCAGAAGAACCTGCCCCTCCATCCAGGAAGTTGAGAGGTACGAGAAGAAAAATGGTTCAAAAGCTCGCACGAGGAAGTTGATCCAATCCCTCCTTCTCATGAGAAAGAGGTAAGTGTAGAGCTAGCGGCTGATCTATCTTCTCGTATTGTTTGGACATTAAATTCATCATTGAACTGAGATGAGGAGAGTGTCGATGAGGATCATTTTATTACAGTAGGAGTGGTTAAGGATGCGGAGATCGATGCAAGCATTCATACTCGAGCAATTCTTAGGAGCTTTATTGCTAGCTCTAGAAGTAAAAAGGAGAGGAGGAAACACAAATGGAGCCACAACGTTGATCCCAAACTTAATTAGTAAAATTACAAATGCCTTTACGAACAAGACCAGAGCTTGGAAACTTGACTGATTTGTAATAATTAGAGACTAGTTTTGCAGCGGGCATGGCCCAATATCATCTGTCTTTAGGCTGCAAGCGAACAGACTAACACAAGGCCTAGGAGGAGTATCCAATGCAATCAATTGAGATTTTGAATAATCCAAAGACATTTAATAAGTGTAATTAGGAGAGGAATATATATCTGAGACCAAAACCAGATTGTGGGAGCAATGGACCAAATGCCAGGATGGTTTGGTATCTTTCATTAGATAGGCATAACGATATAGCAGCCTCTTGCAGTCCATCCGAGGTTTAATTCCTTTTCGAGGAGCCTATGTAGAAAACTCGATGAATCTTCATAAGAATTACTCAAGCAAAAAGCTTAGTTTTGGGGACTCGTTGGAAATGGTGGCAACCAATTTTATTGATGAATATTCTTTCAGAATCCAGTGCCTGTCTTCATAATCATCCTTCTGCCCAATGTCAATTCTTAATTGCATTTAATCAAGTTCAGTCGGTGCTTAGCATGCTTGCTTCTTTATCCACATTAGATTTCTTGTCATTTTCTTTTTTTTTTCTTTTTTTTTTTCTTTTTTTTTTGTAAACAAAATTTTGACAATACAAGCCTCAGCTTATAAGAAACTGTCACACATTAGTCAAAAAGGTGCACTGGAGCAATAGGGCAGGCTTCTCTATCATTGCCCTACTAGATCTACAAGTGAAGTTTCAATTGCATGAAAGCCCAAAGATACTCAAAGCTTGTTGCTCTTCAAGCTTGGCTCGTCCGTCGGGGACAAAACAATGTTTAAACTATAGTTTGCCTTCTTTGCAAAGGCACTTCCAAAAAAAAAAAGAAAAAGATCTAATTGATCAGGCAGCAGCTTGATCCTGTACAGTCTGCTTCATTTAAGTTTGTATCTCAATGTAACTGACATAAAGTATGCAGGAACTATTTGCCTTTTAAGGTCAAGGAAAAGGCCTCTTAATTAGCCTAGCCCTGCTAGCGTAAGATTATAAGAAGCTTGTTTAAATGTTGAGAGGGACAGAGAGCAGGAAAGAATATAAAATGCTCCTAAGTTTTCTTTTAGATTACAACTAAGAGCAAATTGATTATAAAATATGTGGCAGATTGAGATAATATGTCTTGTTTATGTGTTAGGTGATTGAACAACTACCTTCTGCTCCGATTCCATATTCTGTACAGAATTTTAAATTGTTTGATGGCCACCAAGCCACAATCCCACATATTAATGAGTCCCAACCAATCTTGAAAACAGTATATAAAACAAAACGCTGAGGTTTTATACATCTAGAATTGCTTTCAGTTCGATATTTGGTGCAAAAGAATGATAAACCAAAATTGGCAACTCAGTCTAGATCAACGAAAATGTTTCGGTTCATCTGTTCCTATCGACCTACTTATAAGAAAACAACAAAGCAAAAGAAGAAAAACAAATCCTACTACATCATCAAAATTTCATATCAAAGTGGCCAGTGAACTTCAGATTCTCAACAATGAAGCCTCTTCTGTTCGTAGATGAAACAATATGGAAAAGAAAACAAACCAGGCAAATAGAATCTACCTCGGTATGAACTATCCATGAACCAGCAATGAAATCCACCATCCTGTCTCTACATTTTTGAAAATCTTGAGAACGAAGGTACAGCATCATTACTAATCTTAGTTAGCTATAAGACCCACCAGTAGCTCATGCTTATGGGAATTTGCGGGCCACTATGACTCACACCGAGCATCATTGCTGGCCTCTGCAGCAACTGTGTAAGGAACATTGATATTGAGAACATCCCAGATATCGGAAACCTCTTGTTTCATCGCAATATTCTGTTCTTCTCTGGCTCTAAGAAAATGAGCCCTTTTGTGACCTCCCAAAGCTTGGCCAGATAGAAAAACTTTAAAGCAGATTGAACATTTGTGCTCCTTACCCTCCTTTGACTCCCAATCTTTAACAATAACTCCATCAGTTTCCTGCTTCACTGATTCCTGAATACATTCAAGCTTGACAAGTTTTCCTGTAGCCTCAGTTTCAGGAGTAAAATTAGTCTGGATATTCTTTTTGCAGCTATCAACCTTAACCGCAATGGAGCTCTTTCTATGGAATGTTTGGTGACCCCCAAGTGACTGATAAGTGATGAATTTCTTGTTGCAGATTCTGCACCTGAAACCACCTTTCTTGCTTGGACCTTCCATGACATCAGAACCTGAGGTAGTTAGTACCATCTGATTGTGAGATTCCTTTCCCATTTCAGTATCACAAGCGTCAAACCTTGCCTGACTGCTTGGAATAGATTTCTCAAATCCCAAACCAGCACAATCCAATCCAACTTCTCCCATCAGATCCTGACTTGATTTGGCTTCATTGCAATTGGTAATCATTTCACCATGACCTCCCTGCTCTATCTCAATACCACAGAATTCAACTCCAGATTCATCATCCAGTTGAGGGCTCTTGGATTCAACATCCTTGTAAAAAACCCCCATGGGAACTTCCAATCTAACTTGATTTTCCTCACTACACCCCATCTCATTATCACCTTCACCACCACATCCAGATATACTAATCTTAGAATCCAAATCACAAGAATCTAAATTATCTTCTCTGGGTTTCTTTGGCTTGACAAGTTCACTACCATAAAAAACATGACAGTCTTCACCTCTCTCAAGTCCCCTGCTTAGATACAACGAATCAAACCCATTACATTCACCCCTAGACATCATAATCAAAGTAATAGCTACCTCTTCAACTTCTTGCTCAACATCGAAACCAGAAACAGATTCGTTCAAGCTAGAAAAAGAAGAATTAGGAGTAATCTTGTACCTCATTCTACTAGATCGCTTTCTTCTCACGAGATTCACAGTCTCAGTGGCAGATAAGGCCATAACAACCAGATTAGGCCCTGAGCTAGCCCTGGATTCACTTGAGATCCTAAACTTGTCATGATGCAGCCTCTTGTGATTACTTAGAGATTTTAATGACAGAAACCCTTTTCCACATTCTTCGCAGTAAGCTCCTTTCCTTTCTATAGCAGAGTGATGCCTCATGTGACCATGAAGGGATTTTGGTGACCCAAATTCTTTGCCACAAACTCTACATTTCGCTGTTTCTTGCATTGAAACACTATCATCATGATTGAAGCCTGAGAATTTCCAAGATTTCTTGGGTTGTTCTCTTAGGCCATAACTATCAGAGCCCATGTTGATGCTTTCAAACTTGACACACCCTTTAATCGATTTTCGAGCTCCATGAATCCTCATGTGGCCACCCAACATTTTCCCAGTCAAGAAACTCTTCTTGCAGAACTTGCACACATGCATCTTTTCTTGATTCTTCTTTATTTGAGCAAACCCCAGATCAGAAGCCAAGCAAAACCTCAACTTTCTCAAGAAAAATGGCAAAAGATACTTCTTTGACTTTCCAGGGAAACAAACACACCAGGAAGTTGAAGAAAAACAGAGGAGTCAATGAAAACCCACATAAAAAAGAACCTAAAGTTTTGTAAAGCCTTGGTTTTTGAAGGGACAGAAGAAGAGATGGCGAGGGTTTTTGTGATTTAATCAAGCTAGCTAAAAAAGGAAAAGTAAAAAACTCGATACAAAGAGTGATCCCCTGCCCCTGTTCTATTGATCTGCCTCTCTTATAGAGTACTACTTTCCAATGCAAGAGAAATATTGAAGTGAAAGTGATGGGATTTATGACTCTGCTTGATTTACAAGTACTAAAAAGCACAAAAGAAGCCAGAGAGAAACAAAAAGAACCCCGTCTCTCCCCCCATCCCTCTCTCTCTCTCTCTCTCTCTAAGTTGATGGGTTTATTCTTATTTGGAAGGAGAGAGAGCCTTGCATGGAATGGAAGCAAAGTTGTAGGAATGGACTCCCATTCGCAGGTGTACTTAAAATGGTACTCGCTTGCAGTGATTAAGGACAATTTTGGCCACAAAATGATATGTGATTTGGTCATGCGATTGCTTGTGATTGAAGTAATTTGGTAGAGCTTAAAGGCTCCTTTCTGAACCCGAACCCGTATTATGTTAATGCACTCCCTTCTGAACCCGTATTATGTTATGCTATGTCATGTTATTAGTAGTGATAGTATTGACTATTTGATTTATTATCCGACTTGCCCATCTATCTATTTTTAGATAAAACCCACCTGCCCTGATAATTATTTGTATTAATGATCCATCCAAGGACCAGGACTGTCCCATCAAAGATATTGCTTTGATCTGGGTGGGTATATCATGAAACAACAGACTCACCATTGCATGGTGGCTTTGTCTTTATCGTGCAGCACTTCCCTACTCCGGTTAGCTTGCTTCTTTCTGAACTTGGAAAGTGGATTAAGCTATTAATCAAATGCTATCATAGATTGACAAGTGAATCTGGCTAGAGTTTTTTGGTTGAAGAATAGAGAACAAATTAAGATTAGCAATTGAGTTGGACTAACCTTAATTTTATCCAAACTGATCTCAAAGTGTGATTAAATCATGCACATAGTGGTTTTGACCATTTGAAATCATAGATCCAATTTTAATTTTCTTGATTTGCACCATTCAGTTGATCTAAAATTTTCGTTTTATCACTTTCGTGTCAAGAACCACGTTGTTCATTTATCAATTTTCTAGAATGTGTGATCAGTCAGTTTTTTAATTGTCGTGAAGGTGTGCCAATCTAAAGCATGTCCGTGTCCTTAATCTTTTTGCTTTAACTAATTTTAGCTTTATCTTCTTCAGAGGCGATGTCATTCAGCGGTTTAAGAAGTTAAATCAGTACTGATCCCTTGCTTAGCAACTCCTTAGCTATCTTTCAATTTTGTATATAGTCTGTCCTCTCAATTGATATAAAAAATAATAATAATAATAATAATAATCTCTAGTTTAGTAACTTTAGAGATCTAGAGATTATGAAGACAGTTAATTGGATCGGAGTGGCCACGGAATTAATTTAAGAACAAATGAATATAAAAGAAAAGGAAAAAAAAAAAAAAAAAAACATGGATCAGATCCAGTAGTTGGTACGTGTTCTTGTTGATGCATGAACCAGAGTTTTAGTGTCTTTGTATGTTCAGAATATGTGTGAATTCACCATGCAATATGAGCTTCAACGTTGTGCTTGTAACCCTCTTAACCAAGTTTACCAAATTTTGGCCTAGTTCACGCACTGAATTTTTTTTCAAATTTTTATTAACTTCGACTGTCGTCTTTTATAATGTTTGATCCCCCTTCCCACCACCAGCCACTTTATGCCAGGGAAGATTGGGTACCGGTGGCTATAAGCTGGTATTTGTCATCCCCATAATGAGTGAGGATATGAGTTGGAAAATTTAGGGATCCAATGAAATTTGTGACACAAAATATTGGCCATATAAGAGAATGAAAAAAGATTCTATTTTTAAATTTGACAACTATCTTATCAATTATTATCAATAAAATTTATTCACTATTTATTCACACATACTCAAAAGCATTATTCCTCTCGTTATGCAATAACAGTTTTGTAGTTTCTAAATATTTTTAATACATTTATAATGAAGGTTTTCCTAACATTGTACTTTGATCTCTCTTTTTTAAATATGATTTTTTCAATCCGTAAAAAATTTACAAAATATATTTTTAGTTAAGAATTCATTGGTTTTAACATTCTTTATACTATTAAATATTTTTTTTTAATGAAAAATATAAAGAATAACTAGTTAAATATAAAACTTGATGCATTTTGATATATGTATAATATAACACGAGATATCAAAATAAAATAATTTTACTTATTTTATCCGATCCGATCCGTAAGGCAGCGTATGTAAAAGATCTAGTTTCTTACTAGGAAACGTTTGCCTAGTCGCATGCCTAAATGCCCTCCAATGTTTATTTAGATGAAAGATGCCCAGATATTTATGATGGGCTATTTGGTCATGTTCACAATTTCACAAGCCAAACTATGGGCCCTCTTGGTGTTCCCTGTGCTTGTCACTACATTTCATTGTTGTTAGAATATGAATGAAGTCAAGCATCTTAGAGCAAAAGCCTAATTTAAGCCCAGATGTCATGTTCCAGTACTTTATATAAACATTCATAATTTCCTAAGCAAGCGAGCATTAGAAGTAGCTTTCCGATAAATTACAACTTTTAAAAGTTACTAAACGGAAAGAGGATAAAATTTTATAGATAAATTAGTTTCGATCCTAACATAAGTGTGGCGAAAACTCCTATGAGCAGATGGTGTGCTTACTAAAGTGTGCTCTTTTTTTATGTGATTAAAGTTGAAATTGCAATTTTCTTTCTTCTTCTCTTTGCTTAGTAGATAATAGCTAGTAATGCATGCATGCATGCATGTTCTAGCAATCAACTTTATAGATTCAATGCTTGGTCAGTACTCCAGTGGTAAATTCTGCTCATGTGTGGTCCATCTCATCCCTTGCTTTCTATTTTGATAATGAGACCACAGACGCTGCTTCTAGTTTAGTTAGCATCTTACTCATGCAATGGTTGCTGGGTTTCAATCCCTCCCTGTTTGAGTAAGGTGCAAGAACTACAGTTCTACAATCATTTATATGCCTGTCTTTTCTTATATCGAACTCAAATTTCAATATTGTTTGCATTTTTCCCCATCCACGAGTGTTCAAAATCAGTTGCATGTTTTTCTGTTAATCATGCACCAGCAACAAACAAATATAAACTGGAAACACACAGCTCCGCCATGCACGGTGGCTGTCATCAGTATCGAAAAAATCTGATTAAAAATACTTTACCAAACAGTCAATTTAAGATTCATGTGCATTTCTTCTAGAAAGTGGAAGCAATTAACATAGATCGAGTAAGTGAGGCAGATCAAATCTATATATATAAACAAGCTTCCATTCTCGTTGGGAAAAGACATGGTATGGAAAAAGCAATTAGAGCCATAAAATCTGCCAAAGCACAAACCAGTCCCTTCAAGACCAAGCTGCAGGAAAACGAATATGATCACTTCCAATTCGAAGAAATTGCGTTTGCACAATCATTCACAGGTTGTGGAGGAAAAATATTCGCATGCAAAGAGAGAAATAAACAGACAAACACACCATTGCTCACACCTAGAATTGTCAATGGTCGGATTTATTCGGCTCATTGTACATTCGATCTGATTTATTTAGTGAAACAAATATGACGGAATCTTATAGATTTAAATCAAGTTTTAAAATATAAAATTAAATCCCACCTCTATTGGATTTTGATCGAATTTAAAATTACATCAGATTTATCATTTGAGTTTTATAAAAAATTTATACTTCTACATTTCATATATAAAATATATATTCTAATCACTAAATCTATAATAAAATAATATTTTATTTCTCAGTTTTATAAAAAAATTTGAAATATAACACAATTCAAAAATATAAACTCAAATAATTTTAATAAAAATGTGTTCTTGAACTAAGTAGTATTTATGATAAAATTAAAAATAAATAAATAAATATTTTTTATCTCTTGTCTATCGGTGAAAAAGATAGAGTAATGATAAATATAAATATAAATAATTTTTTAAAAGGTATTTAAATTAATTTATTTTTTTACGAGATAGAATTAAGAAAATGATAAAAAAAAAATGAAAAATATGCATTATTAAAACTTTATAATAAATAAACTTAATCTAATTTCATATTCATATTTTTTTCAAATTTAAATTTTTAATATTTAAAAAATACTATAGAACTTTATAATAAATAAACTCAATCTAATTTTGTATTGATATTTTTTTCAAATTTAGATTTTTAATATTTTTAAAAAACATATCATATTTATTAAAAACATTATTTTTAATTTTAGATCAAATCCAGATGAATTCAAATTTCATCCATTTAATAAAAAAAATTAATAAATTCAAAAAATAGCCGACCAAGTTTTGTGAGTTTTTTAGCACTATTTTGATGGAAAATGAGCCAATAATAAAAACTCATTACGTTATGCCATGAGCTCCGGGTGACTTTTGTAAAAAAATGATGTTTAGGCCTAGAAAATATAGTTTTTTAGTTTTTCGAGATGATACGTGCATGTGGCCTTTCAAGTTCCAAGAAGGGCCGGTGTGAACGAGGGTGAAAAAATCTATAGAAACACAAGTAATCCCCGGTTTGAGGTTTTTGAGACCTACCACATGGCAAAAAAGACAAACATAAAAACTCATCGGCCTCGACCGTGAGCTAATGGTGATTTTTGCCCAAAAATGGCCGACCAAGTTTTGTGAGTTTTTAGACCTATTTCGATGAAAAACGAGCCAACAATAAAAACTCACTACGTTATGCCATGAGCTCGGGGTGACTTTTGTAAAAAAACGATGTTTAGGCCTAGAAAATATAGTTTTTTAGTTTTTCGAAATGATGCGTGCATGTGGCCTTTCAAGTTCCAAGAAAGGCCGGTGTGAACGAGAGTGAAAAAAACTATAGAAACACCGTAATCCCCGGTTTGAGGTTTTTGAGACCTACCACATGGCAAAAGTGACAAACATAGAAACTCATCGGCCTCGACCGTGAGCTAATGGTGATTTTCGCCCAAAAATAGCCGACCAAGTTTTGTGAGTTTTTAGACCTATTTCGATGGAAAACGAGCCAACAATAGAAACTCATTACCTTATGCCATGAGCTCGGGGTGACTTTTGCAAAAAACAATGTTTAGGCCAAGAAAATATAGTTTTTTAGTTTTTCGAGATGATGCGTGCATGTGGCCTTTCAATTCTAAGAAGGGCTGGTGTGAACGAGGGTGAAAAAATCTATAGAAAAATTGTAATCCTTGGTCCGTGGTTTTTGAGACTTACCACATGACAAAAGCGACAAACATAGAGACTCATCGGCCTCGACCGTGAGCTAATGGTGATTTTCACCCAAAAATGGCTAACCAAGTTTTGTGAGTTTTTAGACCTATTTCGATGGAAAACAAGCTAACAATAAAAACTCATTACCTTACGCCATGGGCTCGGGGTGACATTTGCAAAAAAATGATGTTTAGGCCTAGAAAATATAGTTTTTTAGTTTTTCGAGATGATGCGTGCACGTGGCCTTTCAAGTTCCAAGAAGGACCGGTGTGAACGAGGGTGAAAAAATCTATAGAAACACTATAATCCCCGGTTTGAGGTTTTTGAGACCTACCACATGGCAAAAGCGACAAACATAAAGACTCATCGGCCTCGACCGTGTGTTAATGGTGATTTTCGCCCAAAAATGGTCGACCAAGTTTTGTGAGTTTTTAGACCTATTTCGATGGAAAACGAGCCAACAATAAAAAATCACTACGTTGTGCATGAGCTCGGGGTGACTTTTGTAAAAAAACGATGTTTAGGCTTAGAAAATATAGGTTTTTAGTTTTTTGAGATGATACGTGCATGTGGCCTTTCAAGTTCCAAGAAGGGCCGGTGTGAACGAGGGTGAAAAAATCTATAGAAACACCGTAATCCCCGGTTTGAGGTTTTTGAGACCTACCACATGGCGAAAGCGACAAACATAGAGACTCATCGGCCTCGACCGTGAGCTAATGGTGATTTTCGCCCAAAAATAGCCGACCAAGTTTTGTGAGTTTTTTAGCACTATTTCGATGGAAAACGTGCCAATAATAAAAACTCATTACGTTATTCCATGAGCTCGGGGTGACTTTTGTAAAAAAACGATGTTTAGGCTTAGAAAATATAGTTTTTTAGTTTTTCGAGATGATACGTGCATGTGGCCTTTCAAGTTCCAAGAAGGGCCGGTGTGAACGAGGGTGAAAAAATCTATAGAAACACCGTAATCCCCGGTTTGAGGTTTTTGAGACCTATCACATGGCGAAAGCAACAAACATAGAGACTCATCGGCCTCGACCGTGAGCTAATGGTGATTTTCGCCCAAAAATGGCCGACCAAGTTTTGTGACTTTTTAGACTTATTTCGATGGAAAACGAGCCAACAATAAAAACTCATTACCTTACGCTATGAGCTCGAGGTGACTTTTGCAAAAAAATGATGTTTAGGCCTAGAAAATATAGATTTTTAGTTTTTCGAGATGATGCGTGCATGTGGCCTTTCAAGTTCCAAGAAGCGCCGGTGTGAACAAGAGTGAAAAAATCTATAGAAACACCGTAATCCCTTGTTTGAGGTTTTTGAGACCTACCACATGGCAAAAGCGACAAACATAGAGACTCATCGGCCTCGACTGTGAGCTAATGGTGATTTTCGCCCAAAAATGACCGACCAAGTTTTGTGAGTTTTTAGACCTATTTTGATGGAAAACGAGCCAACAACAAAAACTCATTACGTTACACCATGAACTCGGGGTGACTTTTGTGAAAAAACGATGTTTAGGCCTAGAAAATATAGTTTTTTAGTTTTTCAAGATAATGCGTGCATGTGGCCTTTCAAGTTTCAAGAAAGGCCGGTGTGAACGAGGGTGAAAAATTTATATAGAAACCGTAATCCCCGGTTTGAGGTTTTTAAGACCTACCACATGGCAAAAGCGACAAACATAGAGACTCATCGGCCTCGACCGTGAGCTAATGGTGATTTTCGACCAAAAATGACCGACCAAGTTTTGTGAGTTTTAAGACCTATTTCGATGAAAAACGAGCCAAAAATAAAAACTCATTACCTTACGCCATGAGCTCGGCGTGACTTTTGCAAAAAACGATGTTTAGGCCTAGAAAATATAGTTTTTTAGTTTTTCGAGATAATGCGTGCATGTGGCCTTTCAAGTTCCAAGAAGGGCCGGTGTGAACGAGGGTGAAAAATTTATAGAAAAACGGTAATCCCCGGTTTGAGGTTTTTGAGTCCTACCACATGGCAAACACAACAAACATAGAGACTCATCGACCTCGACAATGAGCTAATGGTGATTTTTGCCCAAAAATGGCCATCCAAGTTTTGTGAGTTTGTAGACCTATTTCGATGGAAAACGAGCCAACAATAAAAACTCATTACCTTACGCCATGAGCTCGGGGTGACTTTTGCAAAAAAATGATGTTTAGGCCTAGAAAATATAGTTTTTTAGTTTTTCGACATGATGCGTGCATGTGACATTTCAAGTTCCAAGAAGGGCCGGTGTGAACGAGCATGAAACAATATATAGGGAAACCGTAATCCCCGGTTTGTGGTTTTTGAGACCTACCACATGGAAAAAGTGAAAAACATAGAGACTCATCGGCCTCGACCGTGAGCTAATAGTGATTTTCGCCCAAAAAAGACCGATAAAGTTTTGTGAGTTTTTAGAGCTATTTCGATGGAAAACGAACTAACAACAAAAACTCATTACCTTACGCCATGAGCTCGGGGTGACTTTTGCAAAAAAACGATGTTTAGGCCTAGAAAATATAGTTTTTTAGTTTTTCGAGATGATGCGTGCATGTGGCCTTTCAAGTTCCAAGTAGGGCCGGTGTGAACGAGGGTGAAAAAATCTATAGAAACACCGTAATCCCCGGTTTGAGGTTTTTGAGACCTAGCACATGGCAAAAGCGACAAACATAAAGACTCATCGGCCTCGACCGTGAGCTAATGGTGATTTTCGCCCAAAAATGGCCGACCAAGTTTTGTGAGTTTGTAGACCTATTTCGATGGAAAACGAGCCAACAATAAAAACTCATTACGTTATGCATGAGCTCGGGGTCACTTTTGTAAAAAAACAATGTTTAGGCTTAAAAAATATAGTTTTTTAGTTTTTCGAGATGATACGTGCATGTGGCCTTTCAAGTTCCAAGAAGGGCCGGTGTGAACGAGGGTGAAAAAATCTATAGAAACATTGTGATCCCCGGTTTCGGGTTTTTGATACCTCCTATATGGCAAAAACGACAAACATAGAGACTCATCGGCCTCGACCGTGAGCTAATGGTGATTTTCGCCCAAAAATAGCCGACCAAGTTTTGCGAGTTTTTTAGCACTATTTTGATGGAAAACGAGCCAATAATAAAAACTCATTACGTTATGCATGAGCTCGGGGTCACTTTTGTAATAAAACGATGTTTAGGCTTAGAAAATATAGTTTTTTAGTTTTTCGAGATGATACGTGCATGTGGCCTTTCAAGTTCCAAGAAGGGTCGGTGTGAACGAGGGTGAAAAAATCTATAGAAACATTGTGATCCCTGGTTTCGGGTTTTT